AGCTGCGTTTCAGCAAACATGATCCGCTCAATGATCTGAATCATCTTTGCTGAAACGATACGGATCACGTTTGAAAATAATTGGCAACGCATGAAATATGACAGTTGGGTTTGTGTACAAAATTGTTTGATTTATGTGAATAATTTTGGCGCTAAAAAAATAAGTGAGAAAATTTTGAACACAAAAAATCTAAAACTTGGAAAATAAATAAAATTTGTTGAAATGTCTGAAGTACGAAATGTAAGTTTTTATTTAGTATTTACTTAAAAACTTAAATTTAATTCTATAGTAAATAAATGGAAATTGCAGATTTTATTAGAATTATCGAGCAAAACTGACTCCTCCATTTTCTTTTTAAACACTAGTCCAAGTGTATTAAGCTCAAGGGATGAAGTGCATCCATGCTATATAGTGGAAATTTTATGGAAACGATCAATAATTGTTCCCATAAAGACTATTTGATTGGTATTTGCGCATAAAAAATACAATTGCTATATATTAATTATGTTTCATATTTTAATAGATTTGTTAATAAAATCCAATCAGCAAATACAAAATAACCGTGGTGGTCACAATTGAACGAGAGCAATGAAGGAAATTTACATATTTTTGTGGTATATGGCAAATATAAATACTTTTCGCGAATTTGGTATTTGTTTTGGCATACCAAAAGCTTCTGTATGGAGAATAATTGAAAGAACTAGTGTTTAGCTTATATCAATTGCAAAATTTCCGTTCGTGATTGACAGCACACATGTTAAAATAAATGCACCTCACCAAAGCAATTAGGCTTATTTCAAAAGGAAGCATGAATATAGCTTAAACTTGCAAGCAGTTTGCAATGGTTTTTTTATAAACGTGTATGTTGGAGAGCCTGTTTCCTTATGTATTGTTCTGTTTTAATTAAATAAATGTATTCAACTTAATGTTTATATATTCATTTCAAATTAATTGATTTTCATAAATTATCAAACAACACTTTTTTAATAATAATAAAACGTAAATAATTAAAGTAATAATTTTAATTAATTTTAATCATTTTAATTAATTTTAATCATTTTAATTTATAGTAATAGTAATAATTAAAACATTACTTCAAACAAAGAAATAAATAATAATGACATATTAAATAAATAAGTACATAAAATAAATAATAAATAAATAAAATCAATAATAAATAAATATAAATGTAGATTTGTTCATAATTTTACTACACTGTTGCATCGCATTGCCAACCTCATTTACATTAAAATACGTTCCACTTTTATCTTTTACATACATTCCACATTGAACCAGAAAGTGAACCAGATCAATTGCTGGTTCACCCCATTGTTTTTGTTTTGCATGTAAAATTGAGCGGATCATGTTTGCTGAAACACAGCTAAAGTAGTCTTAATAAAGTTGATGGTAGGAAGCATATAAGGGTTGGTGTTAGCCTCTTTTAAAATAATGCGGACCATTTTTGACAATATCAAAAAAATGAAAAATAAAATCTGCTGCTTTAATAGTTAAAGAAAATAATATCTATATAAATTAATTAAAAATAAAGAACGTCGATAATATTATTAAATGTGAAATTGAAATTATTATAATTCATTATTGCTGTTTACAAATAATTCATAATTGTTAACAATTTTTTTTACAATAAACACTATTAATAATAATTTTTATTCTGTATAAATAACTGAACTTATATTATTGATTTGCTTAAACTAAACCTGCAAAGCGAATCAAATCGGGTATTGATTCTCTGGGTACCGGAACAAACTGGCGTACGCGGAAACGAAAACGCAGATAAACTAGCCAGGAAAAAAGCAGCCAGGCCGATGATAGGGCCGGATTAGGAGAACCAGATAAATGAGAACCAGAAGAAAAAGGATTACTGGGATAATATACCAGGATTAATACAATTTAAATCACTTATTGGTACCGATAACAATAGGAGATATCAGGATTGTATAGAATTATCCTAAGAAAAACTTAGAATTATCATAGGAATCTTAATAGGACACTGTGAACCAAAATGCTACCTTACGAAACTGGGTATATATACGGATATAAACTGTAAATTCTGCGAAGAGATAAGGAATCAGCCAGACATGTGCTGTTAGAATGCTCCTCGCTAATGCACAAACGGAATAGTCTCTACGAAATGTATACCTTTACGGACGAGGCAATAAAATTTTGTAAAGTAAGTTCTGTACTATTTTTTTATTGACGCAATAGTGCTTAGAGACCTACTCAAATCCCAGAAGGGGGCACAATATCCCGATAGTTGCAGTGTCACATCTCTTAACAATAATAGGTCTGTTCCACGAGCTACTCTTAGTAACTTTGAGTAGCACTGTGTTTACACAAGTGCGTGCTGTAATTTGAAAATGCTACACAGACTTTACTCGTACATTTTATTTCAAGTAAAATTTGTGTGATGTGTGAATCAATCATTTTGGTTTAAATTTAAATTTTTTAATTGTTTATTTGCGCGGCACTGGTGTTCTCACCAGATTTTACACAAAGCTGTTCTATGAAAATCTGTATAAAAAGAGTAATTTGTCGCTTTATTTGTGTTACGCTTTTAGTTTGTATTTACTTGTGTTTTACTTGAGTTTCCTACGAGTAGCTTGTAGAACAGACCTAATAATACTAAGAATCCGACTACTCGCTTAATTTATAGATCACTAAACACCTGATGTGAATACATCAGCTGTTGCCATTCGTAACACCGGTACAATGTTGTGGCATTTGAACAAAAATGTTGAAGTTTGTACAAAAAAGTTTTAGTTATAGGTTTTACTCAATTAAGCATGCCACAGAAAAGCCAATTAAATATACACACACTATTAATTTACCAAAAACTAAATTTCCGAACCGACTGACAGCAGCAAAGCGTGTAGAAATTGAACAGCAATTGTTGGAAGTAATGCGGTTAATAAGCAACCAATAATTATTTGAAATTAATAAAATTTTTTATTAACAGACAAAATTTGCAAGTGGTTATCGGTATCAGGAGGCACACAATAAGGAACCAACTTTTGTGCTACATGATGGACCACCATATGCTAATGGCGACCTGCACATGGGTCATGCAGTTAACAAAGTTAGATAATTTCAAGTTATATCGGAATGACAATTTTTATATATATATAATTATTTTATTAAAATTAAAGATTCTTAAAGATATAACATTGCGTCAACATGCAAGCAATGGTGAGAAGGTCAACTATATACCAGGTTGGGATTGTCATGGTTTGCCTATAGAATTGAAAGCGCTGAATGCAGTAGATAATAACGTTACTAAGGACATACAAAGTGTTCGTGAAAAATGTACGTAAAGTGCAATAATATATTGTATAAAAGTAATTCTTATAAATTTTCTTCCTCACACAGCACGACAATTTGCTTTAAATGCTATTAAAAATCAAAAAACCGAATTTCGAAATTGGGGAATTCTTTCTGATTGGGATGATCCAAAAAATATATATCTAACGACAAATCCAGATTTTATAATAAATCAATTAAAATTGTTTTTGAATTTATATGAAAAAGGATTAGTGTATCGTGATTTAAAGCCGGTTTATTGGTCACCGTCTTCAAGGTAAAGAATGCCTATATTTTTTAGTTGAAATTCTATTAATTATAAAATATGTTTCCTTTTAGAAGTGCATTGGCTGAAGCTGAATTGGAATATAATCCAAATTTTGTTAGCCCGTCTGTTTATGTGCGTTTCGCTTTAACCAAATTACCGACAAATATTACCAAAATGGAAAGTAAAATACATGCTTTAGTATGGACTACAACACCGTGGACATTGCCTAGCAATCAAGCTATTTGTTATAATTCAGCATTAGAATATGCGATAGTAAAGTTGCATGATTCCAATAAAATAGATATGAGTGATTTGTACTTGATAGCAACAAATTTAATACAAGAATTTGAAGAGACCACAACATATAAGTGTGAAGTCCTACATAAAATAAAAGGTAAAATACATACATATATATATCATTATTATTGTTAAGAAGACAAGAAAAAAAACTGATGAAACTATAAATTTGATTAAGCATAAATTAGGTCTGTTCCAGGTCTGCTACTTATAGTAAAACTCGAGTAAAACACAAGTAAAGTACAAACTGAGCGCGTAATCCAAATAAAGTAGTACATTATGCTCTTTATACAGATTTTCATGGAACACTTTTGTGTAAAGTCTGGTGCGAACACCAGTGCCGCGTAAATAAACAATACAAAAATTTAAATTCAAATCAAGACAGCTGATTCACATATAAACACAAATTTTACTTAAAATAAAATGTACGAATAAAGTCTGTATAGCATTTTCAAATTTCGACAGGGATGTTACGCTCTCTCAGACGCTCTCATTTACTCGAAAATTTGATGATGGAACGCACTTGTCTATACACAGTGCTACACAAAGTTACTACTAGTAGCTCGTGGAACAGATCTAAAATAGTTTTATATTACGTTTTTCTTGATAAATATATAAAATTATTTCATTTAAAAATGTTTCCAAATTTGTGGACATTACTAGTGATCTTCCTAATAAGCTAATATAAAAAAATGGACTAAAAGGAGTGAAACTTGGTTACCACTAAATTTACTTGAAAGAAAATGTTCAAGTAAAGTTTGTGTAGCATTTTCAAATTTTGACATCATTTTCAATCATTTACTTGAAAATTTGCTGGTGGAACGCACTTGTGTATACACAGTGTTACTCAAAGTTAATACGTGTAGCTCGTGGAACAAACCTATTACCTGCACAGTTTAACACGGCTAAATATAGTTTAATCCGTTTAGAGGTTCCGTTTCAAATTTGGTAGCAGTGAATGTTTGGCACTTGTTGTCTAAAATAATGATTACTCATTTCCAAAGATCAAAGATAAAGGTTTTTTTGTCGTTTATAGATCAATATAACCTGTTATATTTATGTTGCTTTGATATTGTGTACAATATATACTGTAATATTAATTTTTCCAGAGTAGGTACAGACTTATCGGAATGTACCTATCAACATCCAATATATAAAGATCAGCAAACCTTGCCATTTTTTGCTGCAGACCATGTAAAAGATACAAAAGGTACTGGATTAGTGCATACAGCACCTGCACATGGACCAGAAGATTTTCTTGTTAGCTTAGAACATAAATTAAAAGTGGTACGTACATATTATTATTAATGTATCTAATAAAAACTTTTTTTTAAACAACTTTTATTAATAAATTATACAATTTAGCAAAACTACGTAAATGCAAATGGAGTTTATACAATGGAAGCACCAGAATTTTTGCGTGGTAAATCTGTACTGGACGAAGGTGATAAACTCGTTATTGATCATATAGCCAAAGATATAGTACATGCTAGTAAATTTACACATGCTTATCCCATTGATTGGCGTACTAAAGAGCCGGTAATAATACGTGCAAGTGAGCAATGGTTTATTAATACTGCGGAAATAAAAGATCGGGCTGTGAAGGAGGTGCGTTAATTGAATAAATTCTTTTTTTTTAGAAAACTTATGACGCAAGCAAATACATACTAATTTTTAAAATTATAATAGTAATATTTAAAATATTTCTCTTCTAGTTGGAGAAGGTTGAGATATATCCACGAGTTAATGCTGAAGCAAGTAAGAAAAATTTAACAACACAATTACTAAAGCGTCCATATTGGTGCATATCGCGTCAACGTGCTTGGGGTGTGCCTATACCAGCATTTTATAACAACGAAACAAATGAAGTTATTATAAATAGGTAAATAAAGTTTTCAGAAAAATATCAGAAAATTAATTATTTTCATTTATCTAGGGATATAATACAACATATCTGTGATATTATTCAAAAGGAGAGTAATGTTGACTTTTGGTGGTCAAAATCTGTAGATGATATTTTACCAAAAAAATTAATTAAGGATTTGAATTTACCTATTGAAAATATAACAAAAGGTTTAGATATTTTTGATATCTGGTTTGATTCTGGCAGTACTTGGTCGAGTGTTTTAAAACAACAAAAAGTGGCAGATGTCTATTTAGAGGGATATGATCAATTTACTGGTTGGTTTCAGTCGTCATTACTGACGAGTGTTGCCGCAAGGAATTGTGCTCCTTACAAGTATGAATTATTATTTATGTATAACATTATATATTATAAATGATTTTATATACTTCCAGATCAATTTTTGTGCATGGTTTTACAGTGGATGAGAAAGGTAATAAAATGTCTAAATCAATTGGAAATGTTATATCACCTAAGGAAATTACAAAAAAATATGGTGTCGATGTGTTAAGGTGATAAAAAAAATATACAATAATTTTTATAAATGTTATTAACACGTAAATTGTTGGTTTTAGATGGTGGGTTGCTTCACATGCTACACAAAATATGTCCATAATTGTCAGCGATAAAATTTTACAACAATCTGCTGAAAGTCTAAGCAAGATACGTGCTACTCTTCGGTACTTAAATGGAGTAATCAATGAAAAATCTACGACTAGTTGGGATAGTGATGATCAGTCATATTTAAATAGATACTTGTTAAGTTGCTTGGTGGATTTTGAAGAAAAGGTATGATTTTAACTGCATGATATTTAATATATGAATATTTAGAAGTAGGTAAAATCTACTTTACAAAGGAAATACCAATGAAAAAGTCAAAGAAAAAAAACAAAATGACATAAAAAAATTTTAAACTAGTAAACTACAGAAAAAATTGAAAAAAAATTTATTTCATTTATAAAAAATACTCCAAAGCTAAAAAAGGTTATATAAATATAAAACGAATATAAAATTTCCTAATATTAATTCTTAAATCAGACATTGAAACTTTTTTCACTATTAAGCAGGCTTATTTTGTATTGGTATATCCTTGTCAGAAATAGATATATTGTAAATTAGTTGTTATTTTTTTGTACATTAGTTTTGCATTTACATTAATGCTTTTTGTTTTGTTGTGCTTTTTAACACAATCAGCTCGCAACATATATAATATATATTGTTGTATAATAACAATAAAAATATTACTTTGCGAATAAATGTGTTGTGATCGCCAATGTTTAAACTATTTAATAAGATAGTTTGTTAATGCCAAAAAAAGACCCTTGAGCAGACCCTTTCTTCTTTCGGAGTTACCGTTCTATTTTGTATTATTGTACCGGAAAGTGGTAACAGTGTACGAAAACAACACGTGATCAATTTCTTAAATCATGAAACAGATTTCTAAAAAAATTTAATTTTTTATCAGTTCCCACCAAGTCAGCCAGATATATTTTTGTTGATATGCCGCGTAGACTGATAAATCGTTTTATTGCACCAATAATATATCGATGAATCTGAATCTATTTTAATATGATCAGCCTTTGATGAGAAGCAGTTGAGTATAGCTATATATGATTTATAAAGCATCCTCCATTAGATTATAAAATATGTTAGAATTTAAACTGCGAAGTCGACTCATATAATAACAAATGGTCTATTTGTGGTTACTCGCTCTCTGGATAAATTACCCAGTAGTTATGTATTGTTGGAACTAATAAACGGACTCGGACCGGCACAATAATCCATATCTAGAAATGAATTTATTATTAGAAAAAAACAAAAATATTTAAAAAATTTAAGTTGGAATTATTATAAATTTAAAATCCACAAAAATAAAATAACAGATTAAGTATTTAAATAAGGCATATTTAATGAACTAAAAATATATGACGTAAGCTATTCGGTTTAGACACTCTTGAGATATTACGGTTATTATGAATTAAAATTTTTAATTGGTAAAGTTTTCTCTGTTGTAGAGTTACGACTTTTTCCGATTAAGGTATCATCTCTCAAATATATACCTCTTTAATATACAAAACTAAATGTTTTGTATATTTTATGTAATAGTTATAAAGGCAATAATCCGATTTTGATGGTTGGGATGTAGTTTGTTTTTTATTAATTGATTGCGAAGACATATTGTTAGGTAAACTACTGCAATGTGTAAATATTTATTGTAGTTGTAGTCCTGATTGTGACATTTAATTTTCTGATTCGAGGAATGACCAGCACATTGTTGTCTATATAGATGATTGATACTGAGTCATAGACCGTTTTACTTAATTAGTTGTGACAAATAGAAAGTCACATTTATATGTTATTATGATATATAACAAACAAAAATAAATCGTTTATACAGCAGCGAATTTTTTTAAACAAATCATATTGTAATAGATTCCGCCATCTATCACAATTTTTTTTTGCGGCGCCTGTAGATTATTTTAAAAGAATGCCAGCCACATTCTGATGAAAACACAATCGCAGATGCTTTGTTGTATCGATTTAGAAATCGTACTTGGCAAAGCTGTTAAGACAGAAAGTCATTATTATGATGTAATCATCTATAAGATTTTGATTTAATCCGTAGGTAATCTGTTGTGTCGTTGAAAAGTAGATTGATAATGTTATAAAGTTTTATGAGTTCAACTTTGTGGAGAGCGATATAATTAGTACGCACCAAGGATGTGTCTTTAGAAACTTTATAACTTTCAGAAGATTTTTTACTTCAAATCACAATCCTTTATTATTTATATATTTGTATTAAGCTTTTCTTTTTGACATGTATTTTTCATTAAATAATTTTTTATATTTTTAGTGTCAAAACAGTTACAACTGCTACGAATATCATCGTGTTGTATCACACATATTGAATTTCGTTGCGAACCAAATCTCAGCCACGTACTTGCATTTAATCAAGGATCGCTTATATTGCGGTGATAATGATGAGTTAGCAAGTATTCGCTATACAGTTAGCAAATGCTACGAAATACTGTGCAAATCGTTGTGGCCAATTACGCCATTTTTGATAGAAGAAAGTTGGAGCTTTTATGGTAAGTATTGAACAGCCATTGATGTAAGTATATCAAAATATATCCTTTTTTTTATCGTTTTAGATGCTAAGAATGCATTTTATCAACAAAAAGTGCTATCGAATCCGTCATGGAGGAATGAAAACATTGAAAATGCTTTAAATACAGCTCTCAAATATAAACGTTTAATAAATCAAAAATTGAGTGATGTCAACACTTGGACTTTGGCAGTCTCAATTTTACCCACGAATGAAGAGACGTTGGAAGAATTAAATAAACTACAAATTGATATGGATACTCCTGTTAGCAGGTCAGAATTATGTGAAATTTTACAGGTTGGCAAAGTTACTTTATTATCAAGTATAGCTGAAAGTGCAAGAACGCCCGAGACTGACTTTTTGATTGACATAAAAGTTTTAGATATTATTTTATGTCCTAGATGTAGGCGGTATGCTGTTAAAGATGAGACGTGTATTTGTCAACGTTGTACAGAAGTTTTGAGTTTAAAATAAATAGCTTTAAATAATATATCTTGGTGAATTAATATAAGCTAAATCTCATTTAAAACGATTGAAAGCATTTCTTCATTGATTCAGATATTTTTCTACGTGTAGCATTATTGTCACAAATTATATTTGATTCATTATCTTCAAATTTTATAGTGGCGTTATCGTCGTTTAGTATTAGTGATACTGTATTAGATAATCGCTCCATTTTAATATTTTTGAATCCGTCTTTTGTAAGACATTTTATTATTGTATCAGAATCAAGTGTGCCATATAAAATCTTTTCCTTTTTTAATGTTTCTTCCGGTATTGGTGCTGAAGTCATTTTCCCAATTTTACTTGTTGAAGGCCCACCATTTGAGAGATCCGATTCAATGGTACAATCATAAACATTATGTACTTTATCCTTGATTTCTATGAACCCAGTCAAACTTGCTATAGAGTAACCATTTCCTACATCAAGTGGTGCTATGGCTTGCGAAACATCTGGATTTAAATAAATTCTTTCCATTTTTCGCTTCAGTGGAAGTCGAATAATGTCACCGCATTTAAACGTCATTACTTTTTTATCCTAAAAAATAAATAAATAAAAATATAATTATTTAAGTATTTGTGATTTTGTTTCTAATTATTTATTTATATTATGATGTGAAAAAAAAAATTTTAAAATTTTTAAAAATAACTTTTACAGTATGTTTGATATCAGAAAGGAATCTATTTTAAATATTGACCGAGACACCATTGTGTCAAAAAACTATCCGAAAATAAATGTCAATCAAGAAAAATTTATTATTTGAATAATATAGATCATAAATCATTACGTTATATATGCTGTAAATCTTACTGGCAAAATCTATAAAATTTCAAATTCGAGTATATTCGAACTGTGGGACATTGTCATAACTTAATTTTAACTTACTGGTTGATCTATGAATACATTTGGCGCATTTGGTAATGGTTTAACGTAGGCTTCAGGTATTACAAGCACATTAGGTTTAAGTTCCTTTATTAATTTATTCGCTTGTTGATAATTGAGTGATGTATCGATAGGACAATAAAAAGCTTTCATTGCTAAAGGCTGGAATGGTGCTAATGCTTGAATGTACGGAAAATCTGGTTCTAAATATAGAAAATGTGTAATTTAAATAATTTGTTAATATAAAAATTTTTAGTTTAATAAAAAACCTGTAAATATAATGGAATTGTTTGGATTGTTGCCCCACATCTCTATAAAATGTACCGCATCACCGAAACGTAAACTAGGATGCCCACAAAAAACGACGCAGGGCTAAAATGGGACGAAAACGATTGTGAATTAAAGATGGATTTATAAATATTTTAGTTTTATACTTGTCGAAAATCTTTGC